ATTATAAGCATCAGAGCAATGAACATTTGAATATTTTAAAATATATTCTCAGAAAAATCTCCTCAGTATTAAAATACATTAACCTTAATATTCTGCTAAAGTCGATGCAATCTTAATACGGTGCTAAACAGAACAATTTATTCGTTCATACTGACCAATAATATCACGTAGTGGCTTGCGGAGAGGACGAAGGCCACTTACAGCCCCATGAATCTAATCAAGGGCTACACTAGATAAATAAATAAAGAGACTTATAATTTTATAAAATAAAGAATTTTAAGAGATAAATATTTAGCTCAATAAAAATATTTCATGTAAAATAAAGTATGATTTTTGCTTATAATTAGTTTAATAGTGAATTTTTGATCAACACATTTTAAATATTTTTTGTATATGAGAAAAATAATTTAGATTATCTCCGTGGAAATAAGGTAATTTTTCCTTAGAATAACTTACTCGTACGTACATAAAAATTCAAATTTGGATTTTCTTATCCAATGCTTTATTATTATTATTATTATATTGATGTTCTTTCTTGAAATGAGTATGCTCTTCTTTTTAGAGTCCTTAACTCAAATTCAGATTGAAAATTTTGCTTCGAACATCCAAACGCTTATGCACATTTTTTCCTGTATCGTTAAATTCAAAAGTTGAACTCTCTGCTCTGTCAACTAATTTCTTGATTGTTTTCAAAAGACTTTTTTAGATATTGAAAAAAAAATTACATTAATTGGGTACTTGCACTTCAAGAAGAAGATCATGGATACCTGGACATGTAACTGATAACGTCTTCGCTAGCAGATCGTTCATAAGCAAAATGGCTTATAAAAGTTGAGCTAAGTTTCTCCACGTAAGTTAAAATGTTAATTAACGTGAAGTAAATTAAATACAGCCCTGTATCGCATATCAAATTTGCTGAAATATAATTTTTTCTCGTCTACGTCTTTCACTTAATTAAGATTTTTTTTTTATTTATTTTATTGTGACAGTGATATATTTTTGTTTTGTGAATCTGGCAACTTTGATACACAATTTTTTTTTATGTCCTACATGGCTTCATGCCTGTTTTTGTGTTAAATAATAAATATATAGAAAAAGAACCTTTGTGTAAGAATATAGAATAAGTCACTTAAAAGAAATGATAGTTGACTAACTTGGATTACTCGAAATAGAATGGAAAGAACAGTTGCTAAAGTAAACAAATGCCACACTTCAACAACCTTCTGTTGATTGTTTGATAGTAGTTACTTGATTTTTTAGAGAACGAAAAATAAAAAAAAACATTATGTAAAATGAAGCGTACGGAAAAGTTGCTGTCATTCCAGTTTAATGTGCAGATTGTCTAGGTAGTTTGAAGATTACTTAAGTAATTTGAGAAATAACACAATTTTTGGCACTTTAATGGACTACTCTGATAGATAATCTGTAGAACAACTGATTTGTACAGTTATGCGATAATATGTATACTAAAAAAATTATTTACTATTTTCATCTCTCCTTATAGCTGTTTCTTCCCCTTTTTCTAAGCATACAGTTGCTGATTTAACTGCATTAAAAATATTCTCTTAAAAAATACTAATTAAGTATCAATATTAAAGCGATGAAACACTTTTTAAATGTTATCATCGTTTTCAAGTTTGCAGGAACATTTTCTTTAGTTTATAGAAGAAATATTAAAAAAAAAATTCCTTTCAATTTGATTAAGCTATTTGAACCCAGTCAAATGAATTCTAAAAAAAAAGTGTTTCGAATTTTTAATTAATTCTTTGAAAGAAAGTTTTTTAAAAGGAAAATATTAGATTTGCTTTTGATGTAGCGACGTAACTGCTAATAAAATCTACCTTCTTTTAATGAGGGGAGTATACTAAGTTGCTCTTTTTAAGATTTAAAAAATTATCGTGCTTTAGTTAATCATTAAAAAAAGAAAGTTTCAATCGTGTTGTAGTTAATTAAATAAGAGTCTTCTTTGAATAAAATAGAAGCAAGAAAATCTTATTTAATCCTCGAAAAGAAGTAATATTGCTTTTTGAATGCATTCAAATCAAGCGAATATGCATTTAAAAACACTTGAGTTTCGAATGTTGCTTTTTTGTATTAATGTGTGTTGAAATTTTCTTTTAATTAGAACTAAAATCTTCGCGGCATTTTTAGAAATTTCAAATCACTTGAATTATTATTACTGAGCAAATTAATTATCTACAAGTGCATTGTTAGATATTGTGGTTCAAATTGGGCGAAATTATTGCTAAGTTTAATACCCTATTAAAGTTACAGAAAATTTATACTATAGTACGGTTAAAAGCATTTATGCTATGCCTCATTGTTTAACCGATTTTGCTAAGATTATAGTACACCGCAAAGTAAAACACAAGGTTGAGAGTTTTAAACATTTAATAAAATTTTTTCATATAGCACTGATGGTACGTATATAAACAAATTAGAATTTGCAGAGAAGAAAGAGTCTTTTTTGGTAAAAGACAAGGGACACTAGATAAAGAAACTGTTTTTTTAGATGTTTTTAATCCACCATTGCTCTTCACGACATTAATAATTAGTCAGAGTTTTGAAAAGTTTTATTTCCTAATTAAATATTAATTGGTGACATCTAATTTTCAAAGTTTGCGCAGGTTCAAAACAATATTAATTATAATAACTAATGAAACCAATTAATGCGGAGCACCAAATACCCTCTGCGGACGATAAAGAAAGAGAAATATATTTCCCTGATGACAAATAGTGATGTGAATGACTATACAAGAATCGGTTAGTTATTAGAATCTTTTCATTTCAATCAGTGATTTGAATCACATAATTCGAATCATATTGATCCAAATGGCGTGATTCGAATCACTGATCTGAATCACATGATTTGAATCATTGATCTGATGCACTTGATTCGATTTGTGATCTGAATCACTTGATTCGAATCATTGATCTGAATCATTCGGTTTGAATTAGTAATTTGAATCACTAGAATCGAATCAGTGATCTAAATCACTTGATTCGAGCCACTGATATTAATCCCTTGATTCTAATAGTGACCCAAATCGCATGTTTCGAATCAGTGATTCGGGTCACTTGATACGAACCAGTGATTCAAATGGCATAATACGAATCATTGATCCTAATCACGTGATTCGAATCACTGATCCTAATCACGTGATTCGAATCACTGATCTGAATCACTTAATTCGAATATTGTTCCGAACAACATGATACAAATCATTGATGCGAACCGCATGATTTGAATCACCGATCTTAACCATTTGATTTGAATATTGATCCAAAGAACATGATTAGAATCAGTTTTCCGAATCACATGATTCGAATTAGAAATTCGTATAGCATGATTAGAATCAGTGATCCGGATCATATGATTCGAATAAGGGAGCCGAATTAAATAATACGAATCTGTGATCTGAATCACTTAATAAAAAACGGTAATTTGAATCACGTGATTTGACTCAGTGATTTGTATCACTTGATTCGAAAAGTGATCCAAATAACTTGATTTAAATCAGGGATCAACTATCTTATTCGTATCAGTTTAAATGACTTGATGCGAATCATTGATCCAAAATATGGAAAAGTTTAAGAAACTGCAAAAGAATTTTTTTTTTTTTAATTTTTTTTTTTTCATCAGAGTTCATCGAACTCTTTAATTGGAAAATCTTAAGCCCCTAAAAATGAATGAGTTAGAATCTCTTAGATTTTACAAGATATTTTTAACTGCATACAACATACCATCACTGGGAAACAAAACTAACTGAAATTTAAGAAACAATTATTGATTTAAATCCCTTAGATGACTCGTTTTTCCCAACTCTAATTAGGAAATACCATACATAACGCTTAAGACTCTGATATTAAGATTATACAATAACATATAAACGAATATTTTGAAAGTTTGATACATCATAATCCTTAAAATAAGGAATGCGATATTTGTGTGACTGATAATAAAAATGATGTACAAGTATACCAGAAGTATATATTAAAAGCAGTCATTATGAAACACCTTACATAAATCTTAAGACTCTTATATTAATATTATGCAGTAACATATAGATGAATTTTTCAAAAGGGTAATACATGTTATACCCTAAACAAAATATTTGATAAATATTGAAGGAATTTATTTCACTAAATCACTTTTAATTTCGTGCTCGCTATACAGAATATCTTTTATTATAAAAAAATAATAATCTAACCAAAATTTCTTAGTACAGATTTCGAAACATTTTTCACTAACTTTATTAAAATCTTGATATTTTTTATATGGCTTTTGCTGTTTTTATAATGTTAAAATTTTTTTCGTTTCATTATTCTTCCTTTTTTTGCATTGTATACCACTATTCAACGAAGGTTAGAGTATATTTTGTAACATGCAAACTAAAGCAAAATAAAAAAAGGGAATCAAGCGCAAATGAAAGTACATAAATGGACATTAGCAATTTCAATTCTATAAACAAGATCTCTATCAGTGCCTAAACACCAAATGATGGAAGAGAAAGCAAAGAGAAAACATCTGCAAAGTTGTTTAACCAATAGGGGCAGAGGAACAAGTTCGAACAAGAAAATAAAAAGGGAAGGTAAGAAACAGGTGTAAAGGGATTTCAATCCAAGGATGAATTAGATTAAATTGAAATAGACTACCGAATTTTGGAAAACGGTAGAATACTAGAAAGATCATTAAATAAATTATTAGAATTTTTCAAAATATAGAATGATTCCCCAAAAATTAAGTTCGGTAGATGAAGAGCAGTGTTGAGTGATTTTAGTAAAAAAAAAGTTTTAACTTGATGTACTTTTTACATTAATACGCTACTGTAACTGTATTTTTTTTACCTATAGTTTTTTTGTCGTTAGCATAAAAATAAAATAAATTTTTAGTCCAACAATTTTGTTATTTCCAGAAATCCGTGGCTCCAAACTAGAAACAAAACTTTTAATGGAATAAATCTAATAGCAAAGGGGAAAGAATAAAGTAGTAGTCATACCTTCACTTCGTTTCAAAGGAGATTTAGAGATAAACGCCGCTAAAGTCAAAATAAGCCTCACAATCATTGGGAAAAAGATATTAAATACATCAAACAGGAAAAACCCTCATTCTCAAATGGGAATCCTATCTCCAAAAGTGCACTCACTATACTTTTCTCGCATCAGCAACCTCAATCTCTCCAAAAGCTTCAATCTGATGTAAGGGAATCGAAAATTCTCAGCAAAATATAAAGACGTCAACGAAATGCATGATCTGCAATTTTCAACTTCACACATTTCTTATCTTTTTTTTTTCAAATATATATTTTGTTTTGAGTTGCGCATTATGTCACGCGTGACAGGCTGTAGGAAACATACACTTGTTTGTTGAGACTTTTCTACAATTTCAAAGGAAATTATTTCATATTAGCATTTAAACTGAAGAATAACTTGTACATTTTTAAAGTTAATTTCAATCTAATTACTTTGTTGAAATAATTTTAATCCTTTCATACTTCATTTTTTTAGCAGGTAATCATCAAAATTATTATAATGAAAGAAAAAGCTTCTAATTTATAATTAGTTTTGATGAAAGGTCAATAACTTAACTTTTTCGGAACTTCGAGTATGCTTATTTATTAAAATATAGATAAATAAAAATATTTTTCTCTATTGCTGATTACACTGATTAACAATTTTTTTGTATGTTATTTTTCAATGAATCTGAGATATTTTTATTTCAGTAGTTTCAAATCTACAGCCAGTTTCTCTCTCCGAACTACAGTTCTTTTTTTTTAATTAAAAATATAACATTTTTACACAAGTTTAAAAATGTTATCTATAACAGGAGGATGGATAAATAATACGACAAATGTTCAAAGGAATTAGTGCACATCATCAGGAATAAAAGTACATACAAACACGTGACCGAGAGCGTCAACATACGCCGCAAAGAGCGCTTACCTTTTATAAACTGTTTCCTCCCGTGCATTTGAACAGGTCATAATAGGGAAGCACCCCTAGCCGCGGTCAACGACATTTACGGCCATGGGTTCCTAGGCAATTTCAATCCTGATAATGCTCCCCTAAAAGTTTGTCGCCACATTTATGCGACCCCTTGCTATATATGACATTTTTGAACTTGTACATTTCGAAAAGAAATAGATTCAAAATGTCACTTGAAAAAGCTGCGTTATTTAGAAGCAAAATTAGTTTCAGATTTGAAATGCCTGCACCTGCATTAGACAATATTAAGCATTTGTATAAATGCAACAAGAAACATGTTCCTCGGTGTTATTAGTGGGGCTAACAACGTTTGTGGGAAACAATTAGTCATAATAGTTTTTAAATTACATCTTTTTAATTGAACGACACAGACCCTAAAAGAAATTTCGAAAAATATATTTTTTTAAAAATTCATTCTAAATTGATATTGAAAATTCTTGAGATTTTGATGAACCATAGGCATTAATGGGTTAAGCAACTAACTTATTGGTTAATTATGGGTTAATTAAATGGTTATGGGTTAATTAAATAAATAAAGCTTAAATAAAGCTTATGGGTTAATTAAATAAATCTTGAATATTTGCAATAAAATAATTCTTAGTAAAATTATATTTGATTATCAAGACTTTTTTTTAAATAATTTTACTATACCAATTACTAGTGTCAAAGTTTCATAAAAAAAATGAACATTACTTTTTCAAACTTTATAAACTTCAAACTATCTCCAGCGATGACAATGTCAAGTTACATTTAAAAACTTTTCGTTAAGCTGTATTGCTAAAAGAGGAAACGGCTCTATTGAAACGAAAAAAAGAAAAAAAAAACAATAGATGTGGAAAATCTCCACTGAATTTAACTCCTTATGACATTCACAAAACTTTTATCCTTCCCTGAAACAAATTGCAGTTAGCTAAGAAAAAATTTGCCAGAATAACAATGAATTCGTGTCTTTTTGAATTTTGTTAAATTTACGGATCACTACATAAAGAACAAAAGATTTGCTACGGCCAAAAATAATTAACATGCTTTGGTTTATTAAGAAGATATATTTTAGTACTTTATTTTACGAACGAGAGCTTATTTTAATTACTAACTTTTAAAGAGGATCTAATTATTCAACTCCTCTACATGTAGCTTAATATAGTGGTGTATATGTAAAGTTTATTATGCGTTTCAATTTATCGATAAATTAATGGGCTAATTTTATTGATATTTTTAACTTTTTCTTACACATCCTTAAATATTTAAAAATCAAAGCATGCTATCGAGTATTTCTACACCTCGAAGCTAATTACTTGAGTAAATATGTTGTTTAAATAAGCTTAATTTCCACTTGTTTGGTACATATTTAAACGGAGAAAAAAATTCTGGTGAAATTATCATACTGTATACTAAGGACATTTCTAGTAAAAAAACATAATTCTGTATAATGATACCAAAATATAGAGTATTTGAACTTTTCATTTGGTAATTTTACTGTTCATATGACATAGTTTTCGGAAATTCTAGTTCAAAAATTATAGTCCTTATTACAATACATGTAGCAAAAAAAAAAAAAAAAAAAAAAAAAAAAAAAAAAAAAAAAAAAAAAAAAAANGAAAAGTAAATTTAACTGAATAAATGGTTTTAATGCCATGCTCTAAGGTATTATAATAAAGTAACGAAATTTCATCATATGTTATAAAACCATATTTTATTGCTAATTTTGCCAAAATCATTACCAAAGCACTTCGGTAAAAATTATCGAGATTTTTGGTGTTCCCACAGAGCCAGAAATATTGTAAATTTTATCATCCTCTGATACTTATGATCAAAAATTTTTTCTCGGTGTATACTTATCACTCATTTCTTTTTTCCCCTGAAGTTGCATTGTGCTAATTTACATTAGACTTATGTACGTGATTTACATTAGACTTATGTTACTAGAAGGCCCACTCCTTGCTTGCTGCGCTCGTTAACCCCCGATATTGCTATGGAACTTCGATCACTCATTGAATACTTATATATTTTAGTCCAGTTTTGAATGTTTGCTGATACTCTTTTTAAAATGAAATTCTAAAATTATACAATGTAAAAATTCTGTGAAATGTTTCATTTATAAACATTCAATTCACTTTATTTACATTATGGTTTTATCTATTCAAATCTTATAAACTTCAGTGTTCGAAAGCCCAACATAGTCTCTATTCTTACAAAAACTCATAACAACTTTTCTAATTCATATACTCGCAAAATAAACAAAAACTAAAGAAAAAGATAAGAAAATTTTTAAAAAAACGCATGTCGGATCGATCTTCGTTGATAAAAGGGCTTGCTCTTCCACTGTAATTTTGAAACGTCTTTAAAAGTAAAATATAGCTTTATAAAACTGTACTCATTTATTACAAATGCCCAGAAGATTGGCTATGACGGCATTAGTTCTCTGGCCTTCCAATACCTCTGTACATTACAATTTAAAAAGACAAGTGCAGAGCAAGTGCAAGATGAGAAGCATCAAGAATTTGACGTTTTCCACACAAAAGACAAAAAGGAGAATCACAAAGCCCGAACCGATACAAATACGCGGGCAAACAGTCATGACCTGTAGTAAGGCGGAAAAGTGCCACAGCTGCTCTTCAAGAAAAATCTGGAATCAACCGTTTATCCTCAAGCATGGCTTACCGGCATTTCAGATTTTTCTAGCCCATGGCTTACCGGCAGAGTCACATAATGCTTTCTGCTTTATTCTGGTATTATAACTTCTTTTTACCAGGTGCTTGACAGAATGAAAAGAGAGGCTTTTCAAAGGTCCCAGGAGGACCCCTGCCCCACTTTTGGCTGAAAAGTTGGCAACCTCGTTTCCAGGAATCCTGCAAATCACAATATACAAAAAGAACAAAAAGAAAATCAATAATTTTTATTTACTGGGCATGAGCTGCTCATAGAACTCATAAAATAAGATCAAAAATGTAATTTTTCCGCCTTTTCTCTACATTTGGAACTTATATATATACATTAAACAATTTTTCACGAGACTGTTAGAATTAGAGCCTTATTGAATCGTCTCTGTTCTAGTTATTGGACCAGCGTAATTTTATAATTGTAACCAACACAAATATGAACAACAACTTGTATGTTGATATGAAGTGTCCACTGTTAACCTTTCATTTCTTTCCATTTTTTTTTAATATTTTGGGCAAGATGACAGTTTGTTTCAGCTTTTCGTTGTCCCTGCGAGAAAAGAAGTTCTTGCTTATGACTTCTCACTCGCTTGATATTTCTGCTCTTTGTTGCCAACGCAAAAAAGAAATAGACCGTGTGAAAGGAATATAAAACCTTAAGGGGTCGAATACCGTAGAGGAAAGACATCACATCGTAAGAAGAAATCACGAGTAGATTGGTAGTTAGGTACTTTATTAAAGTCGAGGCAAAGCTGCACAATGGGCTATTGGCGATGGTTAGGGAAACATCCCTCAGGGTCACCCACCAGCTTACTGACCACAGCCAGTAATGCTTGCTTCTATGCTCTACTGGGAACCATGCCTCTACTATAAGTCCACTGCGGGACCAAGAAAATCGATAAGTAATTGTCCTAGGATTTTTTAAGGACAATGGATGAACAGTATTGTACAATCCTTTAATTCGTGTAGCACTTATTGCTACACCCCCAAAAGCATGTTTTATTTTGAGTATTGGCTTTACTTAAGAATTCCCAAACTTAAAGACAAAACTTTATGCAATACCGTTGTTCAACTTTTTCTGACATCTTGTCGAAAAATTGCTTACCTGTCTTAAGTCTTGCAATTGCCTACTCTTAAACGACCTCAGTGTGGCATGAACTGAGTGGTGTACAGTAGTAGCCCCTATATCCTGACGTCCAATCATACGACACTTGGGTTATTCAACATCAGTTCCGAAGCCAGTTAAATCTCCGGACGTTTCATCATTATTACAGCTGTTGTTACCAATTACTGCTGCTCTTATGGGTCTCCGGCCATTTAGCTCTAAATTCAATTTAATTCAATTACTGTTGTGACAACGAATGCAAAATCTGACTGCAAGAAAACGCATAAACAACACAAAACAGAAACAATCATTTTTTTCTTATTTAATCATTATTTATAGTTGAATTAATAAAACGCTAATGCTTTTTCAGATTTATTACAATCAGTAATTATAAGTTGTAATTAGTAATTAAAATTAAAATTTGATGTTTATGTACTTAGAAACTCGACT